TATTCTATTTTCTTTATCTCTTTATTATTCTTTGCAAGTACAAATATTTAAAATTATTTCTTCTAAATCCTGTCATTTCTGACAATATGAATAAATCCAAGGACCTTATGCTAAATGAAATAAGCCAGGCACAGAAAGACAAACACCTCATGATCTCACTTATATGTGGAATCTAAAACAATCAAACTCATAGAAGCAGGGTGTAGGATGATAGTTACCAGAGGCTGGGTGGTGGAGGGAATCAGGAAATGTTAGTCAAAGAGTAAAATGTTACAGTTAAGTTACACAAGTGGAATAAACAAGTTTTTAAGGTGATAAATATATTAATTGATTTAATCATTCCATACTGTATATATATAACATCACTATCACTGTGTACCCCATAATTTACATTATTACTTGTCAAAGTGTAAATAAATTATTTTTCCTAAATAGCAGTATGACAATAATATTAAAGATAAAAAATTATATCCATTATTATATACCAGGTACTCTTTTAAGCCCTTTACATCTATTAATTCATTTAATCTTCATGACAACCTATGAGGTATATACAGGCCTTCCTTCATAAAGTGATATATATATTCTTATAAAACTTTAAATTCTGCAAAATCAAGCACAAAATATGAGTTTATTTGGGGGTGGGACAGAATAAGGTTGGAGAAGACTATTGAAAACCCATGTTACTGTGTACCCAGAGAATACCAACTGAAATAAAAGCAACCCTAATAAAAATCCTAGAATGATATATCTCTATAGCCTTTGCACTCAACATCTGTCAGTCATTTATTCTCAGCCTTTATACTGGGGCTTACGTTTCTTTCAAAGTATAGATAGATCTTTGAGGGAATTAAAGAATGTGGAAGTCCTTGAAGCCACTCCACAGCTTCCACTAAAGGAGATCACTGCAGCAAAGTTTTCAGCTTCTTTCTTAAGATGCTCATATATTGCTAAGGCTTTCCCTTTAATCGGAAGAAAGTTGACCCGCTTGTTTCTTTGTCTTCAGTTGAAATGTTTAATTTTTACTGTTTCTTTTGCTGCACCTAACAAATTCTGATGCACAGGCAATTATCTGTGCTATTTTTTTCCCTCCAGAATCATCTCCAATTCTATGCCACATTGACTTCTTTAATTCATTTGTAAATGTGACATCACAATCTCTCCAAATCCTTTAGTTTTAAGATTTTCTTTGATTGTTCAAATATTTCAGAATTTTCTCACTAACCTTATGACAATCAACCCACTGAGCCTTCACTGACATTTTTAGAGTTAACTCCCCATTTATAATTCATATAAAATATGTTCCTAGTCAGAAAAAAAATATTTCTAAACTTTTCTTCTTAGTGTTACTTGAAAATAAGAACAAAATATTTATGAGAATAAAATGTCATTTAGAAATCTTTTGCTATATTCTCCTGAGAAATGTCAATCTGATTCTTGATCTGTTCTTTCTAAGTTTTGCAAAATTTCCTTTGTCTTTGATATTCTTAAATCTCTACAATGTGTTTAAGTGAGAAGAATTCCTTCCACTTTATCTGTCTTCAACACCCCTTGAGCCCTTTTAGTCTGTCTTTTTTCATCATTAACGTAATGCAATTCTTGATCATTAATTCTTCAAATATTTCATTCCTTGTGCTCATTTTCTTCATTTCCTTCTGGGGCTCCAACCATTCCTATGATTGTCCTTTTATTTCTATTTGCCATATTGCTTTGCTTTTAAATTTTTCATCTCTTTATTACTTCATCACATCTCCTGCGAGTTTCTAGAGCTGGCCTTCCAGTGCATTAATTCCACATTAGCAGCTGTACCCATTCTGCTGCTTAAATCAATGGTGAAATAATTCATTTCACCTAATTTAAAAATGTGTATTTCAGAAGTCAAAGGGAAATCTGACTTTTTCTCACCCTAGGGCCTGTCAGCTAGAGCAGGCATGTGATCGAGAACCAGCCAGCCAAGAATCCCACCCAGGATGGCTCAAAGAGACACATTCTCAGATGCAGTGGCAGTGTCAACAACACAGTGCTGACAGCTGAAATGGGAGAGGTGGTGCCAGCATCAGTCCCTGGAGCATGACTTGATTGTGTTCTTGTCTATTTAGCCCGTCTTGGTTCCCATTCTGAGGTTGATTCTCCAGCCTTCTCCTTGGTTCTAAAATGTAGTCAATTTCCTTTCAATAAGTGTATTTTCTCCTTAAGTCATACGAAGCTGGACTATGTCATTCATAACTGATAGCACAGGTGACAGAAGTTGAGATATGGGAGAAGTGCAGAACAGGTAAAGCACTAATTTCTTCCTCCTACATAATTAGGACTCTATGGATATTGTCATAAGGCATGGTTCAAAAAGCAGGGTTGAAAATATATTACCTATAATTGTAAAAGTAATGACTGTCCGAATGACAAAATAAAACTTATCAAATTTAGGAGAGGAAATCTGATTAGGGGTAAAATGAGATAATTCCCAAACCTTGATGAATGGAACTCAAAAGCTACAGTTTAAAGCTGATAAGACAAGAGAGCCAAAATCTTACTATTTAGAATTGTAAAAAATAACCACTAAAAGAACTAACACAAGTGATAAGACAAAATTCTATCCAGGTGGTAGGACTGATAATGGAAGGCAGAATGGGAAAATGTTGCTGTTTATTTTCTACCTTTCTGTGCTGTTCAATTCATTTTTAGCCATGCTCATATATCACATTTTTAACATTTCACACCTCCTCTAGGCTACACCACCACAGAGCATATCACATAATTAAATGTAAGGCCATTAATACACACACACACACACACACACACACACACACACATGCACACACACACACGCACATGGATCCAGCTGCAACTCTAAAAATGCAAATTATAAAAGATTCAATTACATAGGAATTAATTCAAGAGTATATATTTGCCTTTGGATTTGTTTTCTTTGCTAAAACACAAAGCAGTCTCATACTCATCATAAGCTAAATTGTGTACAGAAAAAGAAGGAAACCAACAGGCTAATCCCATTTTGAATTCTTACAAGTATGAACAATGAGCTACTTAGAATTTACTGGAAAGAGCACAAGACTTGGAGTCAAAAAATCTGGGACTACACCATCTACATTATTTACAAGTTGATGATCTTGGGCAAATCATCACTCCAGCCTTGTCACCTGTAAATTGGGGATAAAACTGCTGACTGCATAGAGTTGCTATTAAAATAAAATGAGATAATGGACTATATGTGAGATTGGTAAAATGTAAAGCCAAATATAAATATTAAATACTATTATCATTATTACAGCAACTGATCACAAAGGACATCTGTAAAAAAAAATAGAAATGGCATAATGAAAATTAATCCTACTAACAAATATATAACCAAGAAGCAGCACCTTTCTATTTAAAAAGAATGAATATGATCCATCCCAGGACACAAAATATGGTACTTGACCTCACACAACTCACAGTGGCAATGGGAACTAGTCTTCCCCTCTGTGATGACTGATACCCACATGTGCCTAGCATGTACCTCAATTCTCAGCTTCAGGTAAGAAAAAGATATGTTTGAGAGAAGAGATTAATGAAAGTAGATTCGTATGGTCAATAGGAAGCAGAAAAGAATGTTTAAGAACATCAAGTGTTACCATTTAAATTTCAGATCCCCCAGAACTGAAACAAAGAAGGCAGAGAAAGAGGTGCATAGAAAAGTCTGTATCAAGAGGGATGGGATTCAAAGGAGGGAAGGGCAAAGTTAGCTCATTAGGAAAGTAGCATGTTAGGCCGGGCGCGGTGTCTCAAGCCTGTAATCCCAGCACTTTGGGAGGCCGAGACGGGTGGATCACGAGGTCGAGAGATCGAGACCATCCTGGTCAACAAGGTGAAACCCCGTCTCTACTAAAAATACAAAAAATTAGCTGGGCATGGTGGCATGTGCCTGTAATCCCAGCTACTCAGGAGGCTGAGGCAGGAGAATTGCCTGAACCCAGGAGGCGGAGGTTGCGGTGAGCCGAGATCGCGTCATTGCACTCCAGCCTGGGTAACAAGAGCGAAACTCCGTCTCAAAAAAAAAAAAAAAAAAAAAGAAAGTAGCATGTTGTAAAGCAAAGGGCCCTGGACCAGGAGTCAAGAAACAGCTCTAGTCCCAGCACTGCCACAAGCTCTCTATGAAACCCTGGGCAGGACACTGCCCCTCTCAGGCCTCAGTTTCTTTACCTATAATACAAAGGAGGTGTTGTAAGAGTAGTTAATACAGCTAATCAATCTTTCACAAACTATTTATTGCTTATTATGGGATAGGCAGTTGTTCTAGTCTCCAGAGACATAGGAGAAAATAAAAGCAGACACAGCTCCTGCTGCCATGGATCTGGCATTCTCAATGATCTCCCTCCAAATCAAAGGCCTGACACTAGATCTCTGACTGTAGGCTGTGGTGCGGCCACAGTGGACAGACAAAATGGCTAAATGATTGAAGAGGAGACAGCATGACCTCTTCAAAAGCAGTCTTTTTTTTTTTTTTTTTTTTTTTTAAGCAGAAGCAAGTGCCCCTCACTCTCATGTTGCCCGATTTCAGGTCCTGAGCCTTGGAGCTTAAAACAGATGGTGGCATTCAACTGACTTTTACCCTGAAAGCCATGACTGGGGCTCCAAGAAAATTTCAGAAATATAAAATGTTTTGTTTTGTTTTTTAGTTAGATAATTAGAGTCATTACAGCAGAGAAATGGGGAAATTATTTGATGCTTTTCTAAAAAGCCTATCTAAAATGACTAACATTAATGTAATTTCATAAAATTTAACAATCACTATAATTGTTCCTAATCTGTTTTCTATAAGAAAACACAATTTATATATTAATTATTTGCTATATGTAGACAGAATATAATACCTCTTTCACCAAACATGAAGCCCTAACCTTGATTTCTGTAGTACATTAAAAAAATGTATTTTGTATTGTCAAAGGAGAAATAGTCTTGGGTTTTGATCCATATTTTCTGTTGCCCATTCATTAAATTGGAGTAAAAGAAGGAAAATCTTAAAAGACATGAAAGGCAGCTCCCTTATAGAGAGCTATCAACAGAGCATCCCAAGAGTGCCCTGACCACAAGCTTCTCCCCAGATCATGGGCCCCAGCATCTCCGAGCACACACTGTCTTCTGCAGGATCTTCTGACAAGTCTGCTTCACCCTAGGAATCCCCATAATCAGTATGAGGGAATGAAGAGAAGGATAGGCAGCCATGAGTGTCTCAGAGATGAAGACATTGGTGAGATTAGGAGGATAAGTCTTGGAGGTGATGGAGTAGGGGCTGGCTATGAAATAAACCAGGTGAAGTAAGAGGAAGCAGCCCAAGGACTTCAGGGCAGTGATGTGAGCCTTGGCTCGGGCATCCCTCCTACCAGCTGAATGGACCTTCATCTTCCTGTGGTGTGTATACAAAGAGACAATCAGCATCCCAGAGGAAACAAGGAACACTATGAAAGGCAACCAACTTCCTGAATTGAGCTGAAGTACATACAAGTACTGCCAACTTGCAAAGGGATACAGGATGGTGCTGTTTCCTTCGGGAGGACGATAGAGCATTAAGCCAATTCGGACTGTCAGTAACAAATTGATTATAAAGCACCACAGAAGGCACAAAAGACTCATGTTATAGGCCCTCCGCTTCAACCACAAGTAGGCAGGATGATCACAGGTTGTGATCTTCTTGCAATAGAAGACACCGAGGAAGGCGGCAAACCACAAGCTGGCTTGGCTTACCAGGACCCAGAAGATATTAAGATAGCGAAGCCAGAGGCTGCTCTGGAAAAGTGGAAACAAGCTTAAGTCCAAAATGATCAGCCACTGCAGGAGAAATCGGCAGCCAGCCAGGCCCAGGATAATGAGGTTATATGAGGACCAGCTGAATTTTCTGATCCATTCCCTAAAACTCCAGACCACGAGGACTCCATTTCCAATTAAACTGATGAGAAATTCAACCACTGCTACCAGCATCAGCAGTCCTAGGGCAGTAGTCAGCATGGCTGGGGAGGGGAGGCTCTCACTGCTCCTGGCTGAAGTCAGATTCCCTGGTAGTGATAACACACCAGGGTAAATTTTCACACCACAAAATCTGGATTTGACTTTGTCCTTCTGTAATTTATCTTCAAGCAAGACGGAATAGCTGTGACGAGGAACAGAGAGGTTGGAAATTATGATACCCTCTGTATTTGCATCTACATGAAGGAACCTTGTGCATAGACCCAGAGATGGCAAACAGTACTACAGACACTGGATCTCCATCTCAAAGGTTGTGGCCAAAGTCTAGACACCAGGATACAATGTAACAAGACCCCTCAACAAGAAAGACCAAATCAAAGCATGCTCATGCTCTATACATTGCCAGTTATAAGAGCATATGCTATATATTTTTTTAAAATTTTATTTTCATAAAAAGAACATTGGGCTTGGCACAGTGGCTAATGCCTATAATCCCAACACTGGCCAACATGGTGAAACCCTATATCTACAAAAAATACAAAAATTATCCAGGTGTGGTGGCAGGTATCTGTAGTCCCAACTACTCAGGAGGCTGAGGCAGGAGAATCACTTGAACCCAGGCTGCAGTGAGCCGAAATTGCACCACCGCACTCCAGCCTGGGCGACAGGGCAAGACTCCATCCCCCCACCAAAAAAAAAAAAAAAAAATGTAAGCATGATGAGAACTATCTATGAAGCTGTTAGGCAGGTAGGCCACTGCCCCTCTCTAGGCCTCAGTTGCTCTACTAATAACTGAATGGATGTAGGGCTAGATTTCCATTTCTTTTTTTTTATTGCATTTTAGGTTTTGGGGTACATGTGAAGAACATGCAAGATTGTTGCATAGGTACACACATGGCAGTGGGATTTGCTGCCTTCCTTCCCATCACCTATATCTGGCATTTCTCCCCATGCTATCTCTCTCCCCAACTCCCCACCCCCTGCTGTTCCTCCCCTATTTCCCCCCAACAGACCCCAGTGTGTGATGCTCCCCTCCCTGTGTCCATGTGTTCTCATTGTTCAACACCCACCTATGAGTGAGAACGTGCAGTGTTTGATTTTCTGTTCTGGTGTCAGTTTGCTGAGAATGATGGTTTTCAGGTTCATCCATGTCCCTACAAAGGACATGAACTCATCATTTTTGGTGGCTGCATAATATTCCATGGTGCATATGTGCCACATTTTCCCTGTCCAGTTCATTTCTTGAGTAGATTTACAGAGTGCTTATTTTGTGTCAAGCTACAGTGTACTAGGCGCAGGGGATGACACCATTATAATACACAGTCCCTGCCTCCAGATAGTATTCGTTGTATATCATCTCCACCCAGCTGCAAGAGCTAGCATTCTAAAACTCTGGCTGTAGGCTATGGAGGGGCAGAGAAGGTCATGATCTTCTACTGGCCAGAAAATCTAGGGGAGGCTTGAAACTATCCAAAAGCAGTGTTTCTTTGGCAACTTTCTAATAGAGTTATAGTGACTCTCTCTCCCCACCTGCCTCAATCTAACCTTGCAGAGGAATCTGCCACAGATCCTGGTAGCCAACTGACATATTACCAGAAACCTAGCCTGGCATCAAAAAAACAAAATATCTAGAAATATTCCATGGAATATTATGCAGCCATCAAAAACGATGAGTTCGTGTCCTTTGTAGGGACATGGATGAACCTGGAAACCATCATTCTCAGCAAACTGACACAAGAACAGAAAATCAAACACTGCATGTTCTCACTCATAGGCGGGTTTTGAACAATGAGAACACGTGGATGCAGGGATGGGAAAATTATACACTGGGGTCTGTCGGGGGGAAATAGGGGAGGGACAGTGGGGGGTAGGGAGTCGGGGAGAGACAGCATGGGGAGAAATGCCAGATATAGGTGATGGGGAGGAAGGCAGCAAATCCCACTGCCATGTGTGTACCTATGCAACAATCTTGCATGTTCTTCACATGTACCCCAAACCTAAAATGCAATTTAAAAAAACTTGAAAAATATATATATATATAATTTTTTTAAAAAAGGATAAAGATAGGATTTTTGGCAGCCTACTTTACTACCAGTGTTGAGGGGCTAAACCACACAGAAAATTGAGATACTATTGTAGCTAATTCCACTAAGAAAAGTGCTTGCCTAAAAAATATCCAGCAATTAACATACAGGTTCACTTCTTTTTAAAATACACTATTTTCAAACTATAGCTATTTTATACTTCCTTTTATCAAAAACATAGTGTATTGGCAAAGGAAATTGGATTATCTGCAGTAATTTTTTTTAAATGTGATACTTTCCATGCAAAATATGAAAACTCAGTTTTGACTTCTGTAGTTTATTAAAATAATGTGATTTGCATCGCTTAGAGTGCAATAAGCTCCAATTTCTATCGTGTTTTTCATTTTGTTTCAAAATCAAAGAAGAAATGAGAAGGAGAATTGAGAATAAAAATTTTATTTTACTAAAAACCTACAGTTATTTTTACTATTGTCAATGATACAATTAAGGGCCTGATTAGATCCTTCTCCCACATTGTGGCCTCTGGGATTTCCAAGCACATATTATCTCCCACGGAACTCTCTGACAAGTCTGATTCCTCATAACCATTACAATAGAGGGAAGTGAAGCAGAGGCAGCCATGAGTGCTGCAGAGATGGCAAGAATGGTGAGATCAGAGGAAGATTAGAAGGTTATGGAAAAGTGGCTGGCCAACGCAGAAACCATGTAAAGGGGGAAATTCAGAGCCAGAGCAACATGCACCGTGGTTGAATCCTCCTCCTTACAGCTTGAACCATCTCCAAGATGGAGATGCAGTCCTCCATCTTCCTGTGATGTCTATACAAAAAGACAAGTAGAACAGGAACACCACAAATAGCAATCAGTTTTCTGCACTAGACTGCAATCTATAAAAATAACAGGTTTAAAATGGGATGGAGGATGCTGCTGTTTCCTGTTAATGGTTTTTAAAGCGTCCAGCCAACAAGAGCTGAGAAATAAAAAGTGATCTTGAAAGACACTAGCAAAAACCAAAAACCCAGCCTCCAGGCCCTCTTCTTCAGCTATAAGAAGTCAGGGAGGCAGAGTTCATGATCTTCATGCAGCAGAAGCCACTGAAGAAAGTAGCAAACCACATGGTGGCCTGGCTTACCAGGACTCAGAAGACATTAAGACAGTAAAGCCAACTACTGCTCTGGGAAAGTGGAAACAGATTAAGTCCAACAGGATCAGCCTGAGTAGGGGAAAGTGGCTTAATGCAGATTTATAGAAACTCCTTACATTTTTTGACCCATTCTCTAAAACTCCAGACTACAGGGACTCCATTTCCAACCAGGCCAATAAGAAATTCAGCCACTGCAACCAGCATCAGCAGTCCTTGGGCAGCAGTCAACGTGGCTGAGAAGGGGAATGTCTCACTGCTGAATCAGAAGGTGCCCTGCTTCAGTGCTGGTGAGTATGTCCTGCTCCTGGCTCTGTCAGAATCCCTGAAGATGCTGTCAGTATTACGATAGAACATTTCATCTCTCACAACTCAGATTTTGCTAGTCTGAAATCCATTCTCTGGCAAAGATATTACAGCTGTGAACAGAAGAACCATTCTTGAAGGTAGCAGTCCTACCTTCATTCACATCTACATGACGCTGGCCTGGGATCTGAGATTAAGTACAGAGCCACAGTTATGGAATGGCCTTCTGAAGAAAAGAGCTAAAATCCAAACAGCCTAGAGCACAGTTTCCTGAAATCCTTCTTTCACCCAAACTAACTCCACAAAACCTAAATAAGACACTGTGAGAATTTAAACAGTGGCAAATGCAAGGCACCTCATGTTATAAAAAGGAAAGCATGAAATTTATCAATTATTTAGCAAACATTTATGAATGACTACTATGTGCCAGGCCTCTGTTCCAAGGTCTTGGGACACAGTGTAAAGAAACAAAGTTGCTGCTCTCATGGAGCTTATGTTCTGGTGTGCCAGGCAAGTAACTGATGGTTTTAATATGTTTGCAATTTGAATACATAAACATGAGAGCTATATTTACACCTGTGCAAAGGCTTACTGCAATGACAATGAAAACACAGGGAAGGATAGGGTGAGCAAACAAGCAAAAACAAGAATACGGGATAAACATCAAGTGCTGAATAATACATTCTAGGAGAGGTCAGGCAGGAGAGAAATCTGTGACCCATGGCTGCTACTTAAATCTCCACACAGAACTGTCCAGCTTATTGGCACCCACGCCAAGAGCATTGCAGGGGTGTATGTGGAGAATAATGGCCTCAGTGCCATTCAGTTTAACAGAGCAACAGTATTGGTTTTTACTTTTGACATGACCAAAATGTGTCTGCCATGATACTACCATACCTCTTTCTACCAAAGTCCCTTCTATTCAAGCTCCTATTCCCCACTGCTCTGAGCCCTCAGCTACTTCTGCAGTGCCTAAACCAAGAAAAGAAAGCTGATGAAAGAGCAAGTGGGAAGCTAGCATCAGAAGAGACCCTCCTAGGGGCAAGTTATGTCTTCACACTCAGCATCAACAGAGCAGTCTATAATAAGAATATTAAAAAGAATGAAACAAAGAACAAGCATTGGTTTTGAAAACTTGGCACTTTCACCCAAAGAAAAAACAAAAACAAAAAAAAAACTGCCGCTCCTGCTACCAGACCCAGTACAGTTTCATCTTCTATCTCCTCTTGTACATCTCACTTGCAAACCTTCTTCATGTACTAGGACTTTTTTAAATGCTTCTCAGAATTGTGCCTATTTTGCCACTAGATGGCGTCAAGACAACTCCCCTGTAAAAGCGGTTGCCCTAAGCAAATAAATTCCCTTAATGAGCTGAAATAGTTCAGATATTCAGAAACTGAACAGATCAAGCATGTTTTTCATAAGCACGTGTACCAGGAACACAACTTACGAATGTACACAAATTCATAGTCTTGCCCGCTTCCTGCCTCACAACGGTATGAAGAAGACGAGTTTTGCTCACTAGTCATTGCCGCCTCTTTGGAGCTGCAATTTAGGTGCTGGGAGAGAGGAGGAAGCACAAACTACACCATGGAAGGTGCTGTTTGCAGCAAAGATCACAACCCCAAGGAAGAAGATGAGCTGCATCGGCAGCGTTGCTCAGGGAAGGGAAGTGAATAGAGTAAAAGCGGG